ATCTGCTCCAGCTTCTGGGTCATCTTAGTTGTCCTCCTCTGAACCTTCTCCAGCTCCATTGTGCTCTCTTTGAAGTGCGGCAACCAGAACCGCACACCATGTTCTAGATGTGGTGGCCCCACTGATTTATCTCAAGGCATGATGATACTGGCATCGCTATCCATTGGTGTCTTTTCTTCAGTTGCTTGGTCTCCTAATGTCTATTTTTAGTGCTTCATTTTCTTGAAGAGAGGAGAGGAAAGAAGATCTTCTTCTACTGAAATGCAAATAAAGCTGATGATCCCAGAACTCAGTGACGTCTGATGAGCGTGCAAGGCGAATCCAAAGGGCACAAGTGGAATCTCTATTGGCATCTCTGTTTCCAATACCATTTCTTATCAGTGCGGGTCTTTTTTACAGCAGATGCAGGCTGTGTCCACACCTTCACTGAACCGTTTCCCGTTACTCCAAGATCTCCTTCCTTAGCAATCACTGCTAGCTCTGATCCCACCAGGCGGGCCACTGTCAGAACAGACTAGGGGGTCCAGGGGTCCAATCCAAGAGAAGAAGGTTCTGTTCTTCCTTGCAAAATGAATTTTAGGTTACCTTGACAAGACTCTTCCTTGTTTTAAAAAGCCTTCCCAGCCAGATCAATGCTAACAACTCCACTCCCATCACACTCAGCCAACAGGGTGAACAAGGGGTGATGGGAACTGTAATTCCCTCTGTTGAAGGGGGCTGTTAATATCCAGCTTACTGGGGTATCAGCACTCAATAAATCCAAGCCATTAACCTCCCCAGGACTGGGGGAAAACCAACCCACCTCCCCATTTACCTGTGATAAGCCAACTGCAAAGCGACTTGAATAAAAGCATCTGGACTGATCTTCTCCGATTTGGGGAAGTTCTTCCCGAAGTGATGGAACACGATTACTTTTATATCCAAATCTTGCACCATGCTGCAGAAAAAGGATGGGGAACAGATCAAACAAGGATTCCTTATTTTATTTTATTTTATTTCATTTCATTTCATTTCATTTTATCTTATTTTATTTTTTGCAAATTCATTTCCCCTGCATCTCTCTGTATGCTGATCACTCCCTTTGCAGATCTGTTCTGAAGGGTGAAGTCCCAGCCCAGAAATTTTCTCTCTCCTGCGCCTCAGGAATGAGCAGCAAAACAGGACT